CTTGCATGCGGTGACGTTTAACAGATAACGAGCATCTTGACTTAACATTTTATCACAGGTTATATAGCACAGTTTATAGTTTTAGGAGGCGACCCAAAGAGTTGGATGTAGCCAGAATCGTTTAAGTTTTTTCCTGTAATATAATGATGTCACCAGTACTAGTTGCAAAAAATTTGAGAAAGAAGTTGTCTTGTGTAACACAGATTGAAAATCGTGCCTAAAAACAGACTCCTCTTATGTTAACCTATAATGAGTAGAAATATGAGGAAAGGTGTGGAGAAAATTGACAAAACATTGAGCTTATTCGGGGACGAATAACGTACGAAACATTAAAAAAAATAACATCTATGAACGTGCGTTAGGCAAACTGCGACATTTCAATCTCCGAACGCGCAAAGTTTTTTTTTTTTTTATCGAAATTTGGAAGGTGTCATGACAAGAGACGATAAAAATTCTGAGCTGACACGTAAATTACATTTGGAATTTCCATGGAAAAGGTTCCTAATTCGATCCAGCCGCAAAAAATTTTGTCCGTCCGTTTTTAACCCCGAGAGATGTCCAAATGAAAAGCTAGATGCCAGACGACTCAACGACAAATTATGATAAAAAAAATGTCAGTGTAAATGTGTCAGTTTATAAAACTTTAAGGTGTATCGTTGTTTTACTCCGATACAGTACGTAGAATTAACACTAAAACCCCTGAGGTACAATGGATGTAGCCCTTAAATTATCATTTTGCATTTGTTCGTTTAAAAACACTAATACAAAGTGGTTGATAAAGGGAATCACTTGTCACTGCACTGAAAAAAAGAATTTAAAAAAAAAAACTAGCAATGTTGGCGGCATTTTCGATGAGAGAAGATCACGAAACATTTTGTTTTCAATTCAAGTCACGTCTTTAAAATTCAATAGATGAAACATTATTTTGACTGTTTACTTATGAATAAAACTGGATAACGAACCCATTTGTCTAAAGCGTGGAGACTCAACAATAACAGCGCTGAATGACAAGTGGCATTACACAAAAGCCCTGTGACAATATTATCGACAAGGTGAGGGATCGAAAGAAAGCATGAAATTACCGTCAGAGATTTTCAGATTACATTCACTGCCTTCCTTTCCTGTTTTACTTCGCAGTTCCACGTCGGTAGTCAAGCAATAAGAGAGAAGAGAGAGTGAACTAAACTGTGTTTTCTCAGCTGGGATTAACTGACACGAGAAAGTTTCGAAGTAGACAGCATCTTTCAGATGCACCCTCTTCAGTCAAAACAAAAGTCAGTAGCCAATGAAAAGCTGTCCCTTTAACCAACCAAATAACTCGTGGGAACGACGAACCAATGAACTGAGTTTGAGTTCATAGAATTTAAGTAACCAAATAACGACTGAGTTTTAGTCTTTTCAACTAACCCGTCAATTCATTTTTTTTCTTTATTTATTTAGCTGTAGTGGTCATGTTGTTTTTGGGTTGTTCGACACTGGATTCAGAAATATTTCATTCCTGCCCTCAGGTATTCATAAAACTTTTCTCAGAACTGCACATAGATAGTTATCTTTCGATTGTGATATTTAAGCAAAATTATTTTTTTATCCGTAAATCAGGCTGTGAAGCTGACGAATTAAGAAAGAAATTCAGCTCTCGAAAAAAAACAAACATTCAGGGAACAAGGGGGAATAAAACTGATGTAACCTAATTACGGACGAACGAATGTGAGGGTCGATTACATTCAAATTTGAGCACAAAAAAAGACAACTTGTGCAGAAATTACAATTCACCTTCCGTCCTCTTCGGTCTTTTTGCCGCGAATTTCTCTCCCTAATACGCATGCGTGGCCGAGCTAGTTTCCAGGTTGAATGTTTGAATCGAAGGATTGCGTATTAGAAATGACGAGTGCTAAATATCATGTTCGCATTGAATTATTGAATGTTTGGAAAGGGAGTTCGAATATTTGAAGTGATGAATAGGGTTACCAAATTAAACGACCGGATGTCTCCATAGTCGAACGGCAGATCTGACCTAAAAGATTACGCGTTGGAATGGAAGAATTGCCGGTTTGAATTGAAGAGTAGAGTGTTTGAATTGCAGAACGATTGTTTCAAAATGGAGGATTGCATGTTTCCGTCAACAAAAAGCCTGTTTGAACTGAAGAATAGTGTACTTGAATTCACGAATAGTAGATTTGCGTTAAAGAATTGCATATTGGATTAAAAGGATAGCATGATTTTTACTTACGGAACTGACTATTTTGAATTGCGAGATTGACTATTTGAAATGCACAATAGCACGTTTGAATTAGACGACTGAATGTTTGGCTAGTAGAGAAACATTTTTAAAACGAAGGATTGCACGTTTGAATAGAAAAAGAGCATAACTGAATCGAAGAAATGTTCCTTTGAATTGAAACAATGGATGTTTCAGTAACCAAATAGCGTATCTGAATTGTCAAACAAGAAATTTGATTGAAGAACTGGAAATCGGAATAGAAGGATATCATATCTGAATGAAAGAACACCAGGTTTTAATCACAGCATTGAATATCTGAATAGAAAAATAGCAAGTCTGATACGAGGTTTTGAGTTTGACACTAAAAACACGCTAAAGAGCTCGACTGTGCAAGAAGCTTCTGTGCTTCTATTGGTGGTCGGAATTTGGAGTTTTCAGAGTGTTGACAGAAGCCCAGGACGTCTTCATATCAAAACTACGCAAGTTCTGCCTTTCTTTAGCTGTATTCCAGTATTCCAATCCTTCCTTTCCTTATATATCCCACCATCATTTTTAACTTTTCCACACTTGCAAAAGGAATAAGCAAGAGTGCGGATCATCGTTGTATTTGTATTTGTATTTTTTCGTGTGTATTAAAGGTTATCTTTCTTCTGATTCTGGCCCCTCTACAGAAAATTTAATGAAAAAAGTTCAAATTCAAGACGATGAAGAGGCGCAATGCCAGCGATGGAGAGCGCGGAAACAAGAAATAGCGGAGCAAGCTGTGTGTGAGTCGTCTTCATCTCAAGAATCTTCATCCACACCGTCCGTAAGAGACATGATGCGACGCAGGATTGAACAAAAGCTGGTGCAACAAAATGAAGAGCGTTTTTCTGGATCGTTTTTCTAGATCGGAAGATGCATGTCAAATCTTGGTTAGTTTTTGTGAAATGCGGTCGATAATTGCCGCATGGGGTGAAATTCACGGTGCCTATTGTTGCTTTGATCTTTGAACGGTCAAGAGTCAAGTTCATCTTCACAAAAACTTCCCTCGGAAGTGCTGCTTCCCGGGGTATTTTCAAAATATTCACACCACTAGCGTCCCAAGCTCATATCTCAAGAAAAAGCAAACGATTAATTCGTGAAAGCGCCACGCGTTGTGTAACTCAGAGTTAACTTGCGATAGGAACCGATAAGGAGAATTTGACCATGCTATACGGATTAGTATGGGGAACGGAATATGGTCGATTTACACCGATAAATGTTTCGAAACATGAAAATTTAGCACGCAACGAAATATGGTCGATTTATTCGAAATATGAACATTTAGCACGTAAAATCAATAGAATTTACGTACATCTTGTGTGTCCGTTGTGGTTTCCGGCGTTCTTTGCCGTTATAAGCTTACCTTGTCATCACTGTTATTCCTGTTGTAAGACGAAGTGAAGGCTGCACACTTCGATTTTGTTGTAGATGTGGGTAACTTCTATTGATTTTACGTGTAAAATGTTCATATTTCGAAATATTAATCGTTGTAAGTCGAACATATCTCATTCACCAAGCTATCCTTATAACGTGTTCAAATTCTCTAAGATTCTCCTCATAAGTTACTACCGAGTCACACAATGCGTGACGCTTTCATGAATTAGTCGTTTTGTTTTTTCTCGAGACGTGAGTTTGGGGCGCCTTCGTTCACACGAATCTGCACTCGAACTATCGCTAGAATCCTGTCATCTCTCTGCCATTTTTCTTTCGATATATTAACCAGTAAAGTTAGAAATTAACCAGACCCTAATCTTGATTGGTCGATGTGCTCTTGTGGGGAGTCCTAATTCGCGGTAAATTCAAACTAAAAGTAGACTTGTCTGTGAAAACGTCGTGACAAAAATACAGGACAGTTGAAGGCTCTAAGTAATAGGCTCCTGGTGTTGACCTAACTTGAAGAAGTCACCTAAAGGTGTAAATTGCTGGGAAAACTTTGAAAGCAAAAATAAAGCAAAATATGGAAATGAAATTGAAAGTATATTAATTTTTCTGTTGGTTTTTGCAATAATTGCCTCTCTCAATTTACCCATCAAAACATCTTGCAAGATTAATAATGGTAATAAGAGTGAGTGGAGTACATTTCGGACTGTAATTATACACGTGATTAACAAAATCGAGGGACCCCGAAGCAGCAGTCCGAATTGTCAATCACAAGTGTGACTACAGACAGAATTGGACAACATGAAAACTGTTACTAATTAATCATAACCGTCACAATTTCCGAAAAAACCGATAGATTTATGACAAACATTTCTGGTAAAGAAATTATCTAAAGTGAAAAATTCCTCCATTTTGGAAATTCCCCAGTCTTTTTGTTTTTTTCAGAATAAGTGGTTGTCGCTTTGGTTTTTGTGGACTCTAGCTAGGAGTAATTTTTTTACAGTTAGAAAGCACAATACACATGTACAGCAGTGTAACACGGGGCATTTTCATGAAAATGTTTAAAATATCTCCAAATCACCATTCCTCTCTAGATATTGTGCAATTAACATCTCAAAAACATATTTGGTGATATTGCAGAGATTATTTATTGTTTCCAGCTTATTTGAAGAATTACCCAGAATCCTTTGTGGGCGTGGCACCTGACACTATAACACTCTTATCATAGCCATTATTGCTAAAATTCAATAAAATTACTGATACAACTTCTTCTAACTAATACAGACTAGAACTATAAAGATGTAGTTATTTCTTCATTTACAGCCAAGGACACTTTATAAATATTATTTCTTCTCTTTTGCAGTTCCCTGCACACCTACCGCACAGTACCAGCAAGCACAAATGCTGTTTTGTTCTTGTCTAGTTTATAAGTCATATCTATAACATTTTCCCTAACAAAAAAGTATCTCTTACGCCCTGAAGATCCTCTGAAGATGGTGCACCCATAGTCATCGGTCATAGGCTCATCTAATTCCACCACACCATCACTTGTCACTTTAATTAGGTAGTAGTCATAGTCAAGGTCATCAGCTGCTTCAGTGGCAACTATGCTATCTTTAGCAGCAAGATCTGCGACTCTGACCACCGTGTCAAGCTGAGATACTTCAGTTTCTTCGACAGCTCGTCTGGTTGTTGCAGCAGATGACTCTCTTTCAAACTTAACTTCGTACCAGTCATCTATCTACTCTTTATTGGTGCAGTTTTACTTTTCACCGCCAATATAGTCAAGGCAGTAACAGCTGCGGTGTCTCGCAAAGATCTTTCCTGACTCTGGAGTTGTCTGGACACAGTGGATTTCCCGGATACCTTTAAGCTCCCGAAAGGTTCTTCTTGGTTTGCGTCTCACTACAGCCTGATCACCTTCTGTGGGAACATAAAAGAAGACTCTACGCGCTAGACCGACGGCTCTGGATCTTGATTCAAATGTGGAGGCTGCTTGAGTGGTTAAGTTTTCTTCAAGGTAGTCCTTCATATCCTTCGCATTCCTTAGGACTGCTGTTTTTCTCAGTTCTGCTTTGCTCACCCTTTGTTTGACATTTTCTCCAGCAGCATCCTGTTCCCCCTTGGCGTGCAAGGTTTCGAAAACATTTCTCTGCACAGGAATCGATAGTCAGCAGGACAGCAAGAGAGATCTTCAATACAGTGACGAGACTTGTACGGGGCAGCACACCCTTTTGTGAACTCATGAAGCCTGTTGACCTTTATCTACAACTGATTTTCCAGGTATCCCACTATCAGTTCCTGAGTCTTGTGCTCTGAGTGATAGTCCTGGACATCGTCATCTGAGATCACAAACAGGTGCTCCCTTGACAATCTGAGGATCTTCATACAGATTCTACTGTCTGGCGATATAGGATGGTGATATATAAAGAAACTTTAGCCACATCGAAATATTCTGACTGCAGCTCATTCTGCTGGCGGCAGCTATACCCCTTAGAGTAATCATGAATGCACACACCGTCATTGAGAGGGAGGCGCTCAACGAGGTTGTCCATTTGTTCTCTCTGCCATTTTGCTATGAATGAGTGGTAGGGGTATCGTTTAAGAAGATCCTGGAAGTACTTAAATAACTCTCCTGGTAATGTCTTCTGTGCCACTATAGCAATCTTCTTTTCCTGACCATTGCACTGAAAATTTCCCCTTCCCCACATATTCGTAGCGCTTCCAAGTCACTTCTTCTGAAATTTCTTCGGGAAGGGGGCCAAATTTACTCACACCACTTTCGTTGCATTCTCTGTTGAGGCATTTCAGCTTGTGGTAGCTGTAGCCTTCTGGCGTGATGCAAAGGGTGAGGTTGACTGCCTCTGTCAGGGTTTGAGGAAGCACTGGATTGGAACCATTTCTCCGGGACGCTACCTCTCTAAATTTCATACAGTCTTTAAACACTATCTGAGTTTCTACATGCTTCCTTGAGGTAAGAGGTAAGATCTTCTGTCCTTTTCTTTTGCAGACCGCACAAAAAATGGCTTCAGACTCTTCAACTTTCGTTGTTTAATCGTTATTTCCGGATGTTGTGCCTTGAAATCTAAAAATATCTCTGTTTGCGTTTTTTCCAGTACGTGCTTCGCATGTCCGATATGCTGCTTCTTCCCAGTTCTCTTTCGGATTACATCTTTTTTGTCTCCTGTGGGTCTGCTTGTTTCATAGTTGAAAATGACCTGCTTGTTTTCAGTACTGATAGCATCACCTCTGGTTTTCCTTTCCAGATCAAGCCAACTCTTTGCAAATTCCACCTACCCAGGGTCAATATTCTTCCACAAAAAGCAACCACTGTCCCTCTCCCAGGGAGCATAATTTGAAAGGACTCCCAAATTGTAACGTAATTTCCAACATAATTTTTAATAAAAGTTTAACAATAATATATACAGTAAGCAAAAATAGCTAGTCCACCTATTTTCTGCACACAGCGAGGTTCAGCTTCATACCTTGTAAGTCATAGAATGACAATTTCAACGAACATACAATTATTTCGGCCTGTATTTACCATACAGGGCTATACAGGGCTATACAGGGCTATACAGGGTTATACAGGGCTATACAGGGCTCAAAGTTAAAAACGTCCTAAGTTGCTTTTTGCCGGCGACTAACTGGAAAAAAGCAGTTGCAAATACTATGTTTTTTACGTCTCTGTCGGTCTCAATTTCGAGCCTTGTCAAATTACTTGCAATTGAAACAAACAATTTTTTTTTATTTTCTTTGATTTTGCTTTAGAAATCTTCACGCAGGGTCTATGGTATCAGATCTTGCATGCTTTGCCTTGTTTCTCGCACATGATCATGAATCTGTGAAAAAATTTTTTTTTTTATTTTGTGGAATAAAGATAGCTAATACTGCTAGCTTAGCAATTGACCAAGCGAGTGTTATTCTTACCCATACTCTTCCTTCTCGCAAAAGCACCAAACATTTTCATCAGTCTCATTTTCAGTCTGGCTTCCTGGATTATCATCTATGTGACAAAAACAAAGTAGAGGGAATGTTCATGCACCTGGTACCACCTGTCCATATAACAACAACGTTTATGACATAAAGAAGGTAATTCAACACATCAACATAACATTGAAAATAAATAACCTTTTCCCTGGATTGCTTTCTTGCGTGAGCGCTCTGCGGCTCTTGCCTTTTGTCTGAATACAATGTCGTTAACGTGCTCGACCCACATGTGAACGTCCGGATCTTTCATTTTCAAGATGGCGGCGATGTTACAAATCCCGCGGATCTTTCCCCGTGTATCTTGCCTCGGAAGTGCAAAAGCGGTCCAATGCCCCCGTCCCGAGCCAAAAATTGGCGACAAAAGTCAGCAAATCCCGCGCTATTCCCCCGTATGTCCCCGGGGTCAACCCCCTGGGATGGCCGCTGATAAGTGCATAACTATGGACGATTTTGTGTATGTTTTCGACGCCTGGAGAAAGTGATCTTGTGAAGTCGTTTGTGTTTGGGAAGTTCTCTGGAATTAATGATTTACGGAGGCAATTAATATGTGATCTACTGACGTCGGAAATATATCAAGTCGAAGGAACAGTTTTGGTCTCGTTCCGCATTTTTGTCAACAAAATAAACACATCCCGGTTAAAAAGATGATAACACGGACCACGTGCAAAGCTGTCATTGTTTCTCGAATGTTACGCGGGTTAAATATTCGATAGTGACATCTCATTTACATCTACATCTACCTTCATTACGTTGGTAAATCTGTACAGACATCACATCAACCAACTCGTGCGCAAAGTGAGAAGACTATATGAAGGCTTGGAATCATATTACGTTCGATTTTCATCAAGAAATGGGCCAGGAATATTCCACTGTAGTGCAAATAATCGTGAAAGCTGATCGCGGAAAAGCGATTGCGGGACGCTCGGTAAGTTGTAAGATGACATGTTATCACATACCAGACGAAAAAACTCTTCTGATTCTCAGTGTGCATTTTGTACCCACTCTGCACTCTACATTTTGTACTTAGTCTACATTTTGTATCCGGTCTGCAGTCTGCTGTCTGCATTTTGTACTAACAGGTATCCGTGGCACTAATACAATTTATTTTTGGTTACAGTTATTCGCACAACACACACAATCGACCACAAAATACCTGTGTGTGAGCTAATTCGACATTTTCGTTCTTTCCCGCGTTAATACTCTTCTTTCCTTTTATAGGAATGTAGACATCGCTTACAATAGCCGTGGTTACACATACCTTGGATTTGGGGCCTTACGGAGGGTAAATGGCTTGGGTTTGGTTAAGCTCAGGTTTCATGTCACCCTTGGGGTGCGATTACACAGTAAAAGACTCCTCTCAAGGTCAAATATAATTAGATATGAGTTCACTAACCTGACAAATTGGCAGGAAAAATACAGAGCAACATGGATGTCACGAATCAAGATCTATTAAGCTAAATTTCAGTGATTCTCTTGCCTCCATAAATATAACAGTCCAGCAGTTTCTTGTGATAAGACACCGAAGAAGGCGCGAAATTAGCCAAGCGCATCGGATTTCACCTCAAACACTGCAGGCCATTTCCTGTATTAGCTACATTCTGCTTTAAGATTGGTCAAGCCACCTCAGGGAGCAGATAAACCGAACTTTTCAGTTCAGGAACTGTCATGGGAAGTTCTTTTTTTCTTTTTGATGTATCCATGGAAATAACCCTGGGGCAATTTCGGTCTGGGGAAAGCGGTTACACACAAAAGCGTCCTTGCCCGTGGGCAAACGCTATTTACCCATGGGTAAAAGGGCCAGTGTAACCTCGGCTAATGTTTCAAGTAATCCACCCACCCCACAAAAAATAACTCTTGCATGCATAGCATGCCTATGTTTTTACTTTGTTTTCCTCCTTAGCCCTGATTTTTAATGAAAATACCCCCACATATAACAAGGAGAGGTTACTCAGTACTTAATGTGTTGAACTGGAGACATATTCATTAATCGATTGTAGTCGACAGAATCAGACGCCTTACGCAGGTCAATAACACAGCACCAATAAGTAAACCTTGATTCATACCACGTCGAACGAAATCAGGGAAGGCAACAGCAGCAAATTCAGTTGAGTGATTTGCTCTAAATCCACGCTGAAAACGACTAGATAACTTGTGTTCATTGCAAAAACTGTACAACTGGATGGTGAACAGCCAGCTCCAGTAATTTTGATGCCACGGGCAGGACAGATCTAAGTCGATTATTGTCCATATCGGTAAACACTCCTCTTTTAAAAGTGGCGTAACCCTTGCGTGTTTCCATCCCTGCGGCATGGATCCACAAGTTTTCATTTTAAGTGCATTTGAAGGAGTGGTCATGCTGCTTGATTGGGCACCTAAAACAACCACTCTTAGGATTCAGAGTATTATCAAACCCAGAGCTAATTACAACTAGAGGAATTTAATTTTATCATAATAACCCATGATTTACTTGTCTGCAGAAAGGAATGGGAACAAGAAGGAACTTGGCAGAAGAAAATGACTGGCTGCCATGGAGAGAAAAAGTATGTTAATTGTTTTTGTAGTTGCTTTTTGCAATGATGCATCATTGCATGGAACTGATAAGATTTTAAACTTGAAATTGAGACAATCATTTTGGGTGAGGCAGTCCTCACCTATATGAATGCTACAAATATAGCAACATTCCTAGCAGAGGTTGATTGGTAACATACAGTACATCCCAAATCCCTCCAGGCTTTGGATTGAAACTGTATAACTGTTTAATTTTTAGGAGGAGGAGGAGGAATTACTCAAGGGTGAAGGAAATGGTATGGCAACAAGGTGTACAGTGTCAGAAACTGCATCAGAGACAAGCTCCTGTATTAATTCAGCAGCACAGGTACATAAATATTATGTTTAATGGTCAATAAAAAGCAGTGGTGAATTTCACAAGTAGATTGAAAGGTAACATCAAATTACTTCAATTTATTTGTATATCTACTTGTTTAATAATTATCCAAATAAACCATCATCTATGTACATGTATATATCATGAAATATTCGGACATACATGTATGACTGGATCCATAAGTTTTCATTTTGAGTGCATTGTGAATGAGTGGTCATGCTGCTTGATTTGGCACCTAAAACAACCACTCTTAGGATTCAGAGTATTATCAAACCCAGAGCTAATTACAACTAGAGGAATTTAATTTTATCATAATAACTTATGATTTGCTTTTCTGCAGAGAAAGAACTCGGCAGAAGAAAATGACTGGCTGCCATGTAGAGAAAAAGTATGTTAATTGTTTTTGTAATTGCTTTTTGCAATGATGCGTCATTGCATGGAACTGATAAGATTTTAAACTTGAAATTTGAGACAATCATTTTGGGTGAGGCAGTCCTCACCTATATGAATGCTACAAATATAGCAACATTCCTAGCTGAGGTTGATTGGTAGCAAACAGTACATCCCAAATCCCTCCAGGCTTTGGATTGAAACTGTATAACTGTTATCTACTTGTTTAATAATTATCCCAATAAACCATCATCTATGTACATGTATATATCATGAAATATTCGGACATACATGTATGACTGGATCCATAAGTTTTCATTTTGAGTGCATTGTGAATGAGTGGTCATGCTGTTTGATTGGGCACCTAAAACAACCACTCTTAGGATTCAGAGTATTATCAAACCCAGAGCTAATTACAACTAGAGGAATTTAATTTTATCATGATAACTTATGATTTGCTTTTCTGCAGAGAAAGAACTTGGCAGAAGAAAATGACTGGCTGCCATGTAGAGAAAAAGTATGTTAATTGTTTTTGTAATTGCTTTTTTCAATGATGTGTCATTGGATGGAACTGATAAGATTTTAAACTTGAAATTTGAGACAATCATTTTGGGTGAGGCAGTCCTCACCTATATGAATGCTACAAATATAGCAACATTCCTAGCAGAGGTTGATTGGTAACAACAGTACATCCCAAATCCCTCCAGGCTTTGGATTGAAACTGTATAACTGTTATCTACTTGTTTAATAATTATCCAAATAAACCATCATCTATGTACATGTATATATCATGAAATATTCGGACATACATGTATGACTGGATCCATAAGTTTTCATTTTGAGTGCATTGTGAATGAGTGGTCATGCTGCTTGATTGGGCACCTAAAACAACCACTCTTAGGATTCAGAGTATTATCAAACCCAGAGCTAATAATAACTAGAGGAATTTAATTTTATCATGATAACTTATGATTTGCTTTTCTGCAGAGAAAGAACTCGGCAGAAGAAAATGACTGGCTGCCATGTAGAGAAAAAGTATGTTAATTGTTTTTGTAATTTCTTTTTGCAATGATGTGTCATTGCATGAAACTGATAAGATTTTAAACTTGAAATTTGAGACAATCATTTTGGGTGAGGCAGTCCTCACCTATATGAATGCTACAAATATAGCAACATTCCTTGCAGAGGTTGATTGGTAACGTCCATTACATCCCAAATCCCTCCAGGCTTTGGATTGAAACTGTATAACTGTTATCTACTTGTTTAATAATTATCCAAATAAACCATCATCTATGTACATGTATATATCATGAAATATTCGGACATACATGTATGACTGGATCCATAAGTTTTCATTTTGAGTGCATTGTGAATGAGTGGTCATGCTGCTTGATTGGGCACCTAAAACAACCACTCTTAGGATTCAGAGTATTATCAAACCCAGAGCTAATTACAACTAGAAGAATTTAATTTTATCATAATAGCTTATGATTTGCTTGTCTGCAGAAAAGAAAAGCAACAAGAAAGAAGTTGGCAGAAGAACATTACTGTGTGCAATTTAGAGAAAAAGTATGTTAATTAATTGTTTTTGTAGTTGCTTTTTGCAATGATGCATCATTGCATGGAACTGATAAGATTTTAAACTTGAAATTGAGACAATCACTTTGGGTGAGGCAGTCCTCGCCTATATGAATGCTACAAATATAGCAACATTCCTAGCAGAGGTTGATTGGTAACATACAGTACAGCCTCTCTTAGGATTCAAAGTATTATTAAACCCAGAGCTAATTACAACAAGAGGAATCTTTTTTGTTATAATAACTTATGATTTGCTTTTCTGCAGAAAGAAATGGGAACGAGAAAGAACTCGCCAGAAGAAAGTGCCTGTTTGCAATGTAAACAAAACGTATGTATGTTAATTAATTTTTTTACCCATCCAAAAGATAAGATTTCATGGGTAATGATTGTTTGAAATTTTGAAATTTCAAACAACCATTTTGGATGAGGTAGTCCTCCCCTCTACAAACACTGCAAATAGTAAAAAACCAAAGGATGAATGAAACAATATTTTTACTTTTGATAGTGCTACATTTTTTCCGCACTAGTGGACTCTAGCTGGAAGTATTTTTTTTAAAGTTTGAAGTGTTTTACTCCTTCAGTGCTGAGGTGGATTGCTAAAATAAATCTCAAATCCTCCCAGGCTATTGATTGAAACTGTTTAACTGTTGCATTGTAGTTGAAGGGGGAGACAGTACACAAGAAAGATGTTGAAGCATCGCGGATGAGAATACCCTCAGAAGAAGCCATGAGTGACTGCAGAACAGAGGACGAAGTACAGAACAGAAAAAAAGAATTTAAGAGAGTGAATCCAGATATAAGAACAGCTGAAGGGAACGAGGTTCATGGCCAAAAACTGGGAAATCGTAGCTCGAAGGTTCAGTACAGTGATCTTAAACTAGACATGAGGGTAGGGAAAGGGGCCTTTGGAGAAGTTTGGAAAGGAAATTTAGGTGGCATTGAGGTTGCTGTAAAGAAACCTCGAAAAAACTCATCTGATGTGCAGAAACTCTTTGAGCAAGAATTTAAGATTATTTCTCAGCTTGAACACCCGAATGTGGTGACATTTATTGCTGTTGTAGTTGATGTTGATGGACCACCATGGATAGTCCTGGAATATGGCGACAGTGGCTCCCTGCAAAAACTTTTGAAGGAGAGACTTTTGAGACCCTTTGAAGTATTCTCCTTTGCTTATGATGCAGGTTGTGGCCTCTCATATCTACATAGCCGCCTTCCGGTTCCGATTCTTCACCGGGATATTCATCCTGGTAATCTACTCCTATTTAAATTCAACACCCCCCCAGGTAAAAAGCTTAAACTTTGCGACTTTGGTAACGGAAGGTCTTGGGGCAGTATCATGACACCTGATCTAGGAGCACCGCACCTCAATGCCCCAGAGACAAGAACGCATCAATACACAACAAAAGTAAGAGAAATGTTTCTGCTTCGATCATGCTTCTATTGTAAGGCTGTCTTTGCATTTTGTTGGTGCGACCGCTAAGACTGCTTAGAAAGAACGTCGGGTGTCCCTGGGATTTGTTGGAGATCCCAGAGACAGCGAACATTAGGAAAGAAGTTTTTCGTCAACCGAGTGTCAAGTCAGAATTGCTCATTCTTTTGTTTGTTATCCTCGCAATCGCAGCAATCCAGTCGTAACCAGGCTGAGAAATACTACTTTCCATTGGTACTTTTTAGCTAACGAAGTCGGCAGAAAATCTCAGAGAAGTTTTAAATTGAGTATCAAAGAAAATCCGGGATGATATTGAATTCTACTTTTCTTGACTCAGTGACTGGTCTGTTTCAAAACAATTATTAATATGTCGTATCAGATAGTTAGTGTGATTTGCCTTATATTTTCCAGCAACACCATTGTAGATAAATAGTGAATTATGAAGTTTGCAGATGTCGGATACATTCCCTATATTTAGGTGAAGACGTGAAGTTCCTTACATACTCCACACTACCCTTTACAAAAATAAGCACAACTGCATCTACCTTTGACAATTAATGGGTACTTTTCATTTGCAAAGGAGACTAATAGTACCTATTAATGTATGTACCTATAACCACCAGTAACCATATGCTCTTTTTGGGTGCTTTTTTTATTCTAGGCTGAAGTGTATAGATTTGGGTGGGTGCTGTTTAACATGTTGCGCAAATCTGAGTGGCCTGATTGTGAAGAACTAAAACGTCAGGTGCAAGAAGAATTGCAGCAACTGATAAATTGGTGCAGAGAACAAGACGCAGAGTTACGACCAGGCATGCAAGCAGTGGTTAAAGAGCTGAAGAAAATGAAAGAACATTACATTACTTTTCGGGGACAAGTAGAGCGAAATCCAGTGGAAAAGTATGTAATCACTGAAACAAGCTTCAATGGACATTGATGTTGCAGACCGAATGGTTTGTCATGTAATAATGTTTATCACATAAATAGCGGTGTTATACAAGGATTTCCGGCCTTGAGAAAACCTGTAACAACACACGTGGAAAAATATCGTATTTTACACGTGTGTTGATATAGCTAATCAGCTGCTTACACGTCACTAGCTTTTGGCGCCACTCGGTCAGGTTGATGAATGAATGGCAAAGCCTTCACGATTCTCTTGTTTTTGTAATCATGATTCAACGCATTTTTCCATCTTAAGAGTCAGCGCCAATGCACTCCACGATTGTTTTTCGAGGATTGTCGATTCATTTATTTTCATTCATTAATGAAGTCGGCTTTTCTTTCCAGTAAAGGGCTATTGTGTTTATATGATAAACAAACTAATAAATGGTTGCTTGTAGATATGGAATTTCTCTTCTCGTGTTCAACTTGACATCTCACTCGTTCGCTGCGCTCGCTCGTGAGCTATCGAGTTAAACATTCGAAGAGAAATTCCATATCTACGCGCGCCCATGTATCATTAGCTTTAAATCGCATCTTTTTTCCCAGCCAATGAACAGGCCACACTAAAAACAAAACAACCAATCAGATTTCAAGGCTTGTTTAAAGTAACTAATCAAATTGCGGGAAAGTGAAAGACAAAGAGTATCGTAGGGCAAATTTTGCTACTTTTATTTCCAAAACTCTGACTTTTTCCTCTCAAAAAAATGGATTAATTTAATTTCAAACCGGCTCAGTACTGCATCAATAAAATATTTGAACTGGCCAAGTCCTGTATTTGGGCGATTTCAAAATGGATGTAATAAAGTGGTAATTGAACCTCGCGTCGTGCAATTTTGGTCTGAAATCATACTTGTGATTTCAAATCGAACTCGCGCTGCGCGCTCGATCGACTTTGAAATCACGCGTATGATTTCAGCTCAAACTGCACTCCATTCAGTTCAATTACCATAATTAATCATTTCTCTGAAGGTATCAGGTTGTTGAAAAAAACAAAAGCAAAAACAAAAACAAACAAAAAAAAACAACCAAATGTAGAAATACACATTAATGGTAAGATTAGCACTTAGAGCATTTATATTATCATAAACAAGGTGTTAGGTGTTAGGTGCGTTTTTTAAGATAGGATTTTAAAAAGTCAAATTTTAACTTACTATGAAAATCACAAATTGTAGGTTTAAACTTAATAAGTAGTGTCTTTTTTTGTCATATTTTTGGTACATTTTGAAAAGAAATTTTGTTTTCTTTCTATTTTGTGTTGTCAATTTTTCAGCTGATTTTCTTTCTTTAGCAATGCCAATAGAGGTCGTCAGTTGCTTCGATTTCTGAAACTGAAATGTTGCTATTTTTCAGCTAAAGATGGTGGGATCAATGAGTTTCTTAGCGTATTTTACTTTTAAAAAAGTTTGTTTCTGTTGTTATTTTTAATATAAGTTAAGTATCGATTTCAATTGGTTTGCACGGTCAAACGTGGCTTCAAAAGCAGTCGTTGATCCTGTGTCAAGTATTAGTGCAAGTTTTAAATTGAGTGTCGTAGGAAATCCGGGATTTCATTGGGTTTACTCTTCGTTGTTCTGTGATTGGTCAAGAAGACCCTCGCCATTTTCCCCATCAATCGGTCGGATGCAAACCCGAAACCAATCACGACTTGGTCACACGCGTTTTCCCGCGCTTCAAGCCGTTTGGCTATTCTTACTTTTAGTTCTCATCGGCTCCTTGCATTTTTTACCTATGTTCTGATTGCCTACTTTAATAACGAGGGGTTGGTTTCACGACACTCAATTGAAAGGTGCTCTACTTGTATGAGGAAAAATTGAATTTATAATTAATCAATAATCGTGTTTCAAACCGTCAATTATTGAATTAAATGTATCACTTAATAAAAACAGGTAAAAAAAATAAAAAATATATATTACAATTCAAAAAAATTTTTTGGGAGGTGTGGACTTCAAAGTCACTTTCTTTTATAACAAATAGGTTAGAATGTAAAGAGACACTGAAGTCTCTTTAAAAAAAATTACATAGGGTAGATTTTAAAAAGCAATGGTTACATTTTGTCTAAGACATTAAATGTCTTTTATCCGTCTGATGTTGGTTTTGATACGCTTTCTTGATCTTGATTGGTCCGTCTGTGCAGTGAAACTCCGAATTTTGCTTCTGCGTCGATAGTTCAAAGCTTTAATTTTCCCTCCTGGGCAGCACCGCGAGCATTTGAACCTTTGAAGATTGGTTTGTTCAAAGTTGCATTTAAATGTCCTGCTCGAACACAATTTTTTTATTGAATAATTCTTTGTGTGACTAACGAACGTTGTAGAATTTAGCAAACTCACGTATTATTTTGTAGTGCCGCTGTTTGGTTTTTCCGTTTATAAGCATTATTCTAAGATGTGAGCATTTCTTATAAGCCATTTGCTCACGAAAGCGGATTCTTTACCTTGAAACTCCGCCATAATTAAAATTAAAACAAGAGTATTCGGCTGGTTCAAATTTGCCACCTCACCCAAACGAGGCTCAAATCCCCCACCCCTGGTGGCACAGATGCCCGTGGAGTTGCTTGGGGAGAGGAATGTTGAAGCTTCAAATTGATCGACGCTCAAATCTGTCTTGTTAACGAGTTGCAAAAGAAAGTTTCAAAATGATGTTGAAGCCTTATGTGACTCTAGATCCATTTCACGCGTCTTCATCAAGTTTGAGAAGCCATCAGGGTTTCTATCCTTATCAGCCTTAGGTGGTTCCGACGTTTATTCTGGTCTCACATTTTTTACTGAGGTGCTACGCCACAGACTCTAGTTTGAAACACGGGGTTGTTTCGTGTGAAGTCACGAATCGCTTTCAGTGATTGTCGCTTTCGTATATCTCAAATTCTATCAGATCGTAATTTACCGACTGCGATCACCGATAACTTGCAAAAACACCTTTTGCAGAAGCAAGCTTTCCCGCCCGCAAGTACTCCTTGCGGTATAGATGGAACAATGAAGCGAGGTTTTTGTCTCGTCAAATAACTGGCGTGCCAGATTTTAAACATAAACACCAAGAGATTGTAATCTCTCTTGAACACTTATCAAGAAAAATTTTGTAGAGGACTTGATTTGGTGGAATTTGGAAGAGGGGGACATTTCAGGAGAAAATTAAAAGGGTTTAGTAAAGCTCCACGCCAGCAAGTTTCTTTCTCGTTCATCTCGACAAAATTCATTACAGATTTTTCTTTCGTAATGTACGTCGCCAATCAGAATTGGAGGGTGATTTGGTATCACCAATTGAGTTGATGACGTAAATTGGCCACAGCTAAGAGTTTCAAAACTGGCGTTTCGAGCTTAGCCCTTCGTCAGAGCGAATGACGAATGACAAATGTTTCGCTCTGACGTAGGGCTCAGGCTAATGCTCGAAACGTCAACTCAAAACGTATCCTCCAAGGTAGAAGAGTAGAAGACTATAGAATGATGTTTATCAGGCACTTTCACTTACCCTAACCATATATTCAAGCAATAGTCTACATATGTAAAACTGGTTGCATGATGTCTTTAACCCTTTACACCCTAACATCAGTATACATATTCTCCATACTGTTCTCTATACATTTCCCAATGTGCTGGCAAGGAGAATTTGTTTAATAATCAAGAGGTTCTTCAGTTGACCATCAATTCCTTTATTCTCATGACCTCAATGTTTGATTCAGGGATGATGTTGAAAAGACAAATTAGATGCCAGTCACTCTTAGGGATTAAAGTGTTGATAACTGCACACATTTTATTTGCTCCTTGCATTTGTTGACAACAATAGTTAAGGCTGCCAGGAAAGCCAACAAGCAAATGAACAGAAGACAATGAAATGAGGGAAACTGTAAACTTTGCCATATGATAGAAAAAAAACTTTAAAGAATACCTAAAAAGGGAAACTTGAATTGTGCTGGCTAATTTCCTCTAATGCCCTTCATGTCTATGGTCAAATAAAATTTAATCAGTTGTAGGGTTTGCCTGCAATATGTCAAACTACCAGTTAGTGTGGACTTGGTTCTTCTCAGATGTCAGCTGGTAAAAGATAGATGCTAAAAATAGATTTCCATAAGAAAAAGTACCCATCATCAAAAGAATCACACTGAAGTGGTGGCCTTACTGATTTGTGATATTTAAAATGACAGAAGCAGGAAAAACACATTCAGCTTTTTCACCATTAAGTTAATTAGATTTTGGATTCTTCATTCAAACTGGGCGAGATTAAATTTATTCATATCATGCTTAATTATGGTTTGTTTACGTGGAAAGGTAATCGTTATTATAGCTTCACAGATGTTTTCGTTGCTGTCGTAATTAACATTCACAACAAATTCCATCTAACACCGAATGTTTTAAGAACTTTCTTCCTTTCTCAATACCATTTACTATTTCTGGAGCACAGTTAAAGGAAGCGGGTTGTTAAAAGAATTATAACTTTTGATTCTAGTAATTATTTGAATATGTGATTAACATTTGATGTTTTGACATGTCACAAGATGATCAAACTGAAGATAGCCTCAAAAAAGGAGTGAACTCCTCTCTAACAATTACATGACTAATTTGGAAACTTAGGCACTTGGCAAATACACCTTGGCTTGCAGTTCTCATGTTTACAGTTTGTTGAGGTAATTGAAATGTCATTCCCCATGCAGGAACCCTCCACATGACCTGTACAGTCTATGCTATGAGATAATCGTGAACATTTGGAGAAGTTATGGTGGTAATTGACCCTTTTTTGCTGGGATGCATAGGATCTGATGGTGTCAATCTCCAAAAGACGCCGTGTATTTCTAGGTAGAGGACAATCATGAAACAATAGCCAGAAGAGGAAAAGTTTTAAAAAAATTGCAGGTTAAAACATGAGTTGAAAATTACTTTTCTTTTTAATTTTTACGCTAAACTGAGGAGGTTGAAACGTTTGGGTAAAACGGTGGGGCAAGCAGTCATACCTGGCAACTTCAAGAGAAGATATAAGAGAAGCTCATACGATTCTGGCGTATTGTTTTACTGACTCACTGTTCACACGTGTATATTAGAGTGGTTTAGCAGGAGGACGGGAACGTCATTTCAGAACGGCGCGCGTAGCAAAAATGTCGATGAGAAACTGGCTCGAGAACGCCGACGCGTTATGTTGAATAGTGATTTAGCAGTCGTTGCAACAAGAATCCTCACCTCGGCTTTTTAAAGATCACCATCACCTTTGAGTT